CAAGAAATTTATATCGTAAATCGTATTGGTTGCTGTAATATATTATGGTCCAGCAGTTAAGTGAGTGTTTTGCCTAAGTGTGTATTTTAAGGCGCTCTTTTCTTTTGATACTTAGCGCAAGTTAAGTTAACCTAACCTAACCTAACGTACACATAATTAGAAATTAAATTAAATAAATAAGAGAAATAAATAATATTTACCGGGTCATTGGATAATTAATATTTTATCGATTCAATAATATTTTTTCTGGAAAGATTAATTTTCAGACTGACAATAAAATAAATTAACTGCTCATTTTTTTTTTTTATTCAATTGATTATTTTTCTTATTTATTTAATTTAATTAATACTTATGTAGTTTAAATCTTTTTATAATTTTTAATAATTCCATTTTGCATAACTCGATAACTATATATTTTTATCATAAATTAATATTCTCTGTTAATGGTAAATAAATGGAAATTTAAAATATTTCAATAAGATTTTTGATATTAATTTACACAAAAAAATATATGCTTCGTTAACTATAATAGGCACTACGATTCTAACTTGAGATTATATTATATCAACCAAATTTAATTTGGATTTTGGTAAATTCAGATGTTTGGCGTTACTCATTTCGATGAAATCGAGGTTTTGAATTTAGAATATTTCCAAAGTTCTTATGGATGGTTAGTATTTGAGTTGATGGGGTGTAAGATGCATTGTTTTAAAATGTCAGTTATAATAAGAAATTATAAAATAGACACTTCTCTTTAGTTCAGAGGTATTCAATCATTATGGTAGATGCGAATCTCTACATTAAAAGTAAACTCAATGTGAGCGTCCGATGTTAGTCATTTTGGAAATTCAAATATTATAAACAAACTATAGACTACTCGAGTCTAGAGATTAATGTTCTTGACATTTTTTGTGTTTTTTCTTTTTAGTAACACGGAAATATTCTGGGATTCTTTTGCAAATACCACGTCTGTCACACTAGACCAAACATTTAATATATTATAGCTGAGTTGGTACACTACGTATAGGAATGTTTTAAGCGAAAATACGTTTTCAACGTCTAGTGTAAAATTTTAATGGTTCAAAATTTCTAAGTAAAACATTTTGAAAATGTATGTGTCTTTAACGATTTATTTTATTTTGAGGGGAGCGTATTATTCATTTAATAATACTACAACGACAAAGACGGTGTGTGTGTCGTATGAAAAATTAATAGTTTATTTCTTATTATAACACAATTATAAAAATGAGTACCGCATTTTATTTGAAAATTAATAATTTTGAGATACTAGGATATTTCGGCCTATTATTTATTGGGAAAGTATTTGTTTTTGAAGACCTTCCTATTGTAATTTTGGCTACTCAACATTAATTGATGTACTTAAATATTTTGACAGTATCAAAATCATTGTTTTTTTGTTTTTAGTATCAAACACAAACTGTGCATTTCCGATTATAGTTTCATAACTAAGAATGTAAGCAAAATATACATTTTTTGACATTTTATCACGAAAATTGGATCAAAATAGTTGCCCAAGTACAGCTTTACTACTAATTTAAAGCAATATTATATCACTGACAAACATCCAATCACCGTCTTTATATTTTGTATGGTATCTGCAAGAATAATAATAAATTATTGCACTTAAACTAAATTCGTTATAAATTGATTGCCAAATGTGTAGGTAGGTAGGTTACAAAACAAACAGATATGGAAATATTATATTAGTTAAGCTATTCATATAAATATATAATAAAGTATAAAAAATGTATTTGTATATTTCTCTGAAGTACGTTAAAGACGAGTAATCGCTTGTTGGAGTTTATTTGAATTTTAACGAAAGTGTCTGTTATTTCCCAGGAAACATTAAAAAAAAATTCCAAAATTTACAAAAATAATCAAGTGCACAGTTTTAATATTATATTGTATTACACTTTTGTACAGATAGGGTACAATTTTGTATTACATTATTGTACTGGCAGGGTACAGGGACGCGTCTGAGAGTAACAGATAACAGAAAGGCTTACATTATGCGAGTCCAAGAGATTAAAAACTATAATACCTAATTTGGCGTAGACTCTTACAAACTCTTACTACAAAATGGAGGTCTTATAAGTTACAAGAGATTTATACATAATTGATTTTTGATGAAATGGACTTACGGATTTATAATATGGTTGTTTGGTGCTCTGAACGTTTTGGGCTCGTGTAGCCCAGTATATTATCTTCTGTAATTATTATACGACATAGATGTTTGTGTTTTAAACCATTTAATTATTATTTAATTATTTTTTAAACTTAATCAACACAACGATTGAAGTAAGCATATTTTATTATAGCCCTAAGCAAAACCGTTCGTTATAAGTCGGTACCCAACAATTATTATTTAGGTATCTACGTTGAAATCATGTCAGCTATGGTTCATCCACACACGTATACGGTATAGGTACCTATCCCTACTCTTACACAAGCTGTACACACATTTATATAATATAAACAAGATGATACATATTATGAAATACATTTGTATGTCAATAGAAAAAAAAAATATTGAAAATGTATTGTATACAAACGATGATAAACAAAACTTCCTATATATAATATTGTCATTATCGTTCAGGACTCAATAGTTTTTTAAAAAAATTTTAAACCATTAAGTTCATTATTTCACTTAAGCCTGGGTTATTGCAGAGTTGATTCTGTAAAACTATAGTTTACTAAATGTTTATATTATGAAACATATTATGACAGCAAAAAAACATATTATCTTTCAGTAGGTATATAAATACATAATTGTTACAAGCTCTATAAGTAGATAGGTATAATGACTAATGTTCTTGTTAATTTAAATCTCATTTCTTTAGTATGATGTTGATATAAATTTCGTTAATACGGTTATTGAAGATTTAGCCTTGTGTTACAAGCGATTTTATGATGATATCGGCCATCGGACATTTATATCGTATTTATAGATATCTGTAATACGCTATAACTATGTATTTAAAACGAAAAAAAATACTAAAAAAGTCTTTTCTAGTATTCGAATGTATAATAAATTCCTTTCGAGACCAATATTCTGATAGAAGGTTTCATAACAAATAGAAAAATATATTTGATTTAGATGACTGCATTAATCATTCGGGGCTGAATGACTCAGCCCAAGCTTTTGGGGGTAATGTGTAAAATAAATTAATTTCTACTCTTATTAATTTTCCAAGTATAGCTTATTCGCCGCATGGTTTGTTTAATTTGATTGAAAATTTTTTTTAGTTTTTAACAAGTTGAAAACTAAATGTTTAATTAAAAATAATTCAGACGTGTAAAGGAATAATGTATAATATTTTAATGATATTGGTCTATGAACAATAATGAACATGTTCAAAGCAGAATGTTCTTTACTTAGGTAACCACAAACATTTTTTTTAGACATCACACATATAAACACAACTCACATTTTTGCTACCTAAATATAGTAATTAATCTATTATGATAATCAGTTAATTATATGTTTAATACAGATTAAAAAATTCTATATTTTTAAGACCTGTAAATACCATTGCTTGATAGTGTTTCTAATTCAGAACAATTTTATAAAATATTAAATTAAATAAGAAATAAAAATTATTTATTTTCAAAAAATTTTACAGGATTATAATTATATTTATGTTACAAAATATTGGTTTAAAATTCATACAATATTTTATTAGCACTGTGTATTCCTCCAAAGTATATTTTGAATTGCAATAATTGAATTGCAATGATGCTATTTAATATGGACAAATGCAGGATAAAACATGAATGTACGCAGAGGTCGTTGACGTCAGTTTAAAAAAACAAATTTGGACATACTACAATAATATTTTCCTTTAATTTTCCAATAACTTTATAAAGAATAAATAATTAAGATTCGTAAAAAATCGAATTTAATTAATTAACAAAAAGTAATAATAATAATTAACGATTAAAGTAATTATTATCATAAAATATTGTATCAAATAACTATTTAAAATAAAATTAATCTACTTAGGTTTATTTGTTCCATAAATCAATGTGTTTGTATAATATTATAATACACACGTCGTGTATAATGTTGGCAAATTATTTGTATAAAATGCCTATCATTAAAATATATTATTATGATTATAAAATTAAAATTATTGTTGTTTCGTTCGTTTGGTGTCAATTAAAACTTACTAGCTAATAAAAATAGGTCAAAAACGTTCTAAGGGTGGTAAACCTTTACTTATTATTTTGTCTATGTTTAGTATTATAGGAAAGAATTAAAAATATATTATTATAATAATATGTAAAGCCAAGAGAAATGTTGCATAATAGTATGATTATATTAATTTGATAATATTGTTATGTATTGTTATGTCTATTCTATTACGTTTAATATTAATATAATATATTAAATTATATTGCTTTAATCGATCACACAATATTGAGTTTAACCATGATTACGACCGTTTTAAAATGTAATTTCTTTATAGCATATATTATAATATAATAATATATGTACATAATAGATAGTATAGAGTAAGTATTAATAAGGTTATATTATTATTATGTTTAATGATAACGTAATTCAAAAACAATCAAATTTATAGAAAGGCGGGAAAACATTTTTTTTTTTCTAAAATAAATAATATTAGCATAAGCCAAGTGGTTACAAATTAAACAATAAAAACTTAACAGGTTTTGTCTATGTAACTCGAATAATATTGAAATAATAATGTATTTGGTGGACTAAATTGTTGATCCCGTCGCATTTTTTCGTATAATAAACATCTATTTATAGTGCGTACGATTTTTGTCCAAACCGTTTAAATTTACTATTCTAGTTTTTTTTTTTTTTCGTTCCATTAAAATCAACAGTTTAGCTTGTTAATGTCAAAAGGCATAAATAATACGTGGTGCAAACACACAATATAGTCTTTTGTTAAAGTATGTCTTCTCCAATATTTTTTTCGTCGGTATTCCAGTTTTGTCGTTTCGGCTTACATTTCGCCAAAAATTCCAGCGAACGTTTTCCTCAGATTTTTCATCGTGTCTTCGGTGTCGTCCAGCTGTCCTGCTTTGTTTTGCTGCTGCACCGGAACGGGAACAGCAGCTGAAACGATGGACCCTTGACGGCTTAGGTTCGCTTTCACAGGTTGGCTGGATTGGTGGCTGCTGGTCACGCTGCTCTCTGAAACTACGAATTTAAAATTCTATACTATTATGCATACCTATCTGCACTATATTGAGTAGCTTATAAAAGGCTGTTTTAATGTTATGAGCTCTATTTGTTAAAAGCTATTTTGGCTAAACGTCGTTAGCCAGCTCGTCTTACCCAAAGAATCTCGTCTCGCCGGAATGGCTGGTGGTTCTTCTTCTAGTGGTTGGCTAACTGCTTGGAGACCCATATTTGCCAATACTTGTGTCTAGTGCAATACATATTTTTTTATTAATTAAAAGCGTCCATGATTTAACCTAATCGAAATTCACTGAGGAATCGATTAGCATGTTAGTTCTGAGTTGTGTGAATTGAGGTCGGTAAAATAATTTTTCATATACATATTTGATATGTTATTAGTATATTATCGTTCAATTAATTAATTCCCTTAAATTACAACAATTTAACGTAACGGTTATGTAAAAAAAAAAAATACGTGGCCATTCTTAAACTTATTATGGTAAATATTATATTTGGTACCCGGTACCGGGTGGTACAACACCTGCAAGCAAAAGTACAACAGCACATTTTCGTTCGGTAAAACCAATTTAGTGTTGTTATATTTGATATTAGAATGACCTACTATCAAATTTAAAGGTAATAATATTATCTAGGATCTCATATATTTTATAAAGGTTCTATGAGCAATTTAAAATTATAATATTTCAGATGCATAGTTATAACAAACCTTAAAAATAAAAATATCATTAGAAGCCTATTAGGTATGGATAATATTCTTGCCTTTAAGTTTGATAATGGGTCAATTCACTCTGATATTAAACAACAACTAACAGATCACTCTTATATTAGTGTGCTTAACAACCCAAATTGCTTCTGCTGAATGCAAATTTTCTATGTTGTATAGTTTTAATGCGGAGACAACACTCCATGTGGGTGTGGTGTCCTCATTAAGTCTTAAATTTAATATTCCTAGACGAATTTATTATACTATTATTGAACTAAAATAAAAGTTTACATACTTCTAATCGCTCCATGATCAAATCGAAAATATATTTCCTGTCTTCTTCTTGCTGATTTCCCAACAAGGATAATGCAGAGTCGTTGACGCCAATGATTTGCTCTATTCCGTCTTTGGAAACAACTACCTCCAATGACAAAATATCCAGACCACCAAAAAGTTCTGCCACAGCGTCCAGCCAAAATTTGTATCTTTCTAGAACTTCTGTTTCTTCCAACATCGCCGAACCCACACACGATTTCCAATTTCCCGAGACGCTTTTACGCCTGAAAAGTAATCCCGTAACGAATTAGAGAATCGGTGCTGTACGAACAAAATGCATTTATATTTACATCAACGCTCTGTAATGAGGTCCGATTTTAGTTAGATGAAGATCGTATTTGCTATCGACAAATGGTTCGGTAGTGCAGTACGTTGAAGCAACAGATACAATTGATGTCATGTCCTGGAAGTCAGAATTATTTTCGACTTTTATTTTGCCCACGCCTCCGTGAGCGTGCCCAACTTTGAGGACCACTGGCAATTGAGTGGCCACCGACTGAAACGCAATAATATGAATAATTATTTATTTATTATTGCCGCTATATCAAAAATATATAATTTGTTTTACCATTTCGCCGGAGCTCGGGTAGAAAGTCTGTTCAATCAACGGAAAGTTTTCCTTGCCCAACTTTTTTTGAAGTTGCACCAATTGCCCGTACACCCAAGGTTTATCCTGAAAACGTTAACAATTTGTTAATGTGAAAAAGAAATTCAGAATTGCAAAACAAAACAATTTATAATTATTATTATATAATAGTTTAAGACATATTAAAATATTAAGGTAGTACTATTATATTACTATTTAGTATTTACTATGATGTTACTCTTTTTAGAAATTATTGAAATTAGCTACCAAATATTATAAATGTTTCTAAATCGAATGATACATTTTTATTTTATATACCTAGCCAAACAATAATTAAAAACATAAAAGTGATAGTTAATAATATAAATCGATGATTTATAATGATAAAACAATAGTAAAAATTACTTAGGTTTAGTCAAAATAAAAATAGACCCCCTTAATTGTCTAAATGCCTATTTCAGTGCATGAATAAATAATACATAATATACGATTAGACATCTTTTAAACGATTGAATCTCGAGAGCTGGAATAGTAAATTGTTTTTGTTTTCAACGAGTTTTCTAGATATATCGAGAATCTTACTTAAGTGATACTTATAATCAATACTGTAAATCTTAACGACTTATGATAGCATGAATTTGTTCACTAAAAAAAATACGTGTCATGTTTTGAAATTATATAAGCAAAAACACTTGACTTATTGTAAAATAATAATAATATTCGATGAATTATAATTATTAAATATATTTTTAAATAAATCTTTATTTAAATACAAAATAATTAATAAAAACTACAACTTTTATTGAAACCAACAATTCGTCAATCTGATGACTTAAGGCTTAAACTTTTAGAATATCTATGAAGAAATAAGTTAAATATAATATCGTGATTAACGCACTATAGTTCATTTAGCGTTATTTGATCATCGAACTAATTTTACTGATTTTAGGAAAAAAATTATCAAATAAACATGCAAATTCATTATTTTGGCACTTTCGCTGTCCTGCCTGTAATTTATGACCTCATGAGAAGCCCTTTACAGAGACTTCAAGCTTTTCACAGTTAAAATCACACACAAAATCTCTCAATCAACTGTTTTGACCAACTTAATCGTGAAAAAGTGCGAGATATTTCAAACCAAGTGACAATAGCTTACTCTCCGTCGACTCAAGCGTGGACGTCCCCATGACGTTCTCAGTGAGAACTTCTCATGCGTTAAGAATAATTTAAAAAAAAAAATTAAAATTATAAGTAAGTAATGTTATTTTATAATATTTTTGTATAAAAAAAAAAAAACAAAATATACAACAATAAGTCAGATATGACTGTCGGGAAAACTTTATAGAAAAAAAAAAAAAAATGACGCGCTGAGTGTTAACGCTAATATAGGTCTTATGCCACAAGTCGGCAAGGGTTTTCGCACCTGAAAGTTGTACAGCGAATGTAACGAATTGATGCTGGGCACGCCACCGATGTTCAGTCCCAACAAGACGTTACGGTAATCCTTACTGGCGTCTCTGACGCTCTGTCGGCACAGGAAGAAATCCGGTCTGAACGAACGGACCACCCGGGAACCGGAAGGAGAGAGCACGGCCATGCTGACAGTGCATCCTCTTTCCGCGCTCGCGGTCACCGTCAGGTCTTTGATGTCCGCCTGTTCGACGTGTATCTCGAAGTCGCCAAAGAACCGTTTTCCCCGGAAGTATCTAGACCTGCGCCAAAACACCACCATAAACGTCGTATGGGTAAACACTGGTCGAAGTGCTGGGGGTGGGGGGCACCTCTACTTTTTATAATTTAAATTTTCCAACCCCACCACTTATTTTGTCGAAAACGATTCATCCCCCTGATAGTTATATACAAATATATTATCGATTTATATCGGAGTTTTTCATACGATTTCTGTCTTTACGATGGTTTTTTAAATTAGTTTTACAATAAAAAAACTAACAATGATAATATTTATTGATATTATAAATACTTTTAGATACTTTTTTGACGAGTACCTACGTATTTGCCTGATCGTTTGAATTTGGCCATAACACGACAATATAATAGATCTGGGTAATCTTGCAATAATTGTATGCAAATATAATAAGATAATAATATTATATTATCTTTTACGTTGTAGAGTCCAAAATTAAAATTGTTTTATTAATTTTACAAAAGTTAATAAATAGAATAAATACAATTTGTAATTAAAAAAAATTTAACTTTTCAATTTTCAATTTGTTCATACTTAAAGGTATAAGTATACTTTTAGTATTTATAAATTGTATCTACATCAATATACTTTATGTATAATATATATGTATATTATTATAAATTTATACACCATTTGATGTAATATTTTAATTTAATTGTAGGCACTTAAGTAGGCATGTATATAGATTATAGATATATGAGAAAATAAGACACTAAACCAAAATAAATACTATACATACAATTGTATCATAAAAAAAAAGTGTACAGAAGTTGAACCCACCTCCACCTCCACCACAATCACAAAGGCGTAAAGTCACTGTTTAAACCATATTATACATATAAGAGTTATATAATAATATGAAACAAGGATATCGCAGTACTTATTTTGATACACTTTGACCACTGTGGGTAAAATATCAACAAAAAAAACTCCTCACCATTCAAAGTTCTCGTCGTCCACCACGAGCAACGTCAACAAACGGTCTTTGCTCACTCTTTGTTGTCTTCGTGTAGCTGCCGCGTCTGTTTAGAACAAAACATAAACAATAATGTTATTACTTATTAAGTTATTAATATAACAGGAGAGACTTGTATACACGTTGATTTCTGTTGAAATTAATTTAAAGACAACGTATGCATCCCGTCACCCGATTTTCAAGTGGATTTTTGTATTTTGAAATTTGAATACATTTAAAAATCGAAATTACTTACAAGTTTACCAACGGTCGGGTACCATTATTAGTATAATGGCGTAGTTATACGAAATTAAATAGAGAAACTCGTTCGTACTCGATAGGACCCAGATTAGAGTCAGATTTTTCGCCGTTAAAACTTATAAGATTATTTATTATTTATCGTGAGCAAAAAAGTTATTAGAGTTTTAAAAACATTAATATAAATTGTATATAATTTACTTTACAGTTTACAACATTAATAACTTTGCCGTATAAAGTGGCATCGAACAATTAATTAATACGAAACCGCACAATCAATGATTTCTTTTTTTTATGATGAACATTTTTTATTTCAAACAGGACTATTGGACTATTGTAGACCTAGTGACTATAGTGGTCTCCATTTGTCCGTGCAAAACTGGTTTTAAATAACAATACATTATTTATGGACGCGTGGCTTAAACCCTTTATCGTGATCATCGTACCACTCGATTATACGCATACCTATTTTATGAACATAATATTTACACGACGTTATATTATTATAATATAAACATGACAATAATGCCATAAAATAATTATACCTACTATTAAAGTTTTAAAATAACGCATATTTCGTGTACTAGATTCTTATCTGGCCTCATTGTTTTTTTTTTTTATATATACCCACGAGGTATATCCGAAGGGAATAAAGTGAAACTGATTTTTGGGGTGGGTTTAGGTATATTTTTTTATTCATAATACCATTGATTATAAATAGATACTATAAATACTATATAATATGTATAATCATTGAAAGAATGAAGAAACATTTCTAATTTGTGTGTTTAAAACCGTATTTCTATCAATATGGTTTTATTTAAAAATTGATAAATTGATGTTAAAAAGTAACAGATAGCAATAAAGCATATTTTAGAAGAATATGCAAAGTTCGTGGTTTTTTAGCTAATTTATTATAGTTTGATTGTTTTCAATTATAATATGTTATACTCGCATGCAGTTTAATATTTTGTTAAAATCGTTATCGCCAAAAAGGGGAAATAAATAAAGTCATACAAATGGGTGTATTAAATAATGATAATGTATTATAGTTATTATCAAATTATATGAATATTTTTAATTAGAATTAACGACCGTGTTATCTGCAGTAACCAGTGTATGTATGTAATGTTGAGAAAATTCACGACTGAAACTTTCTTTTGTAAACTTTATAGAACTTATAATTTATGTATACATTATATAGAAACAAGAATCTACATAATATCGAATCACAAAAACGAAATGTTACAGATTCGTTATAAGTATACAGCGATTAAAACAAATTGAAATAAAATTAAAAATAAAAACGTTTTACCATCATCAATTATTTAAATACAATGTAGTATACTATAATATAACTTAATAACGTATACCTACGTTGTTTGTCACCAAAGTACATCGGATAGGTGGTTTAAACAGAATATAGGTATGCTCGGAATATAATAATATGGATTGATTATAGAATTTAAAGCACTTGAAAACAATTCGAAAATGGTCTTGTCTATAGTTGGATAGGTATAAGGTGTTTTAAAATGTATTATAAGTGATTATAATAGCTCCACGTGCGCAGCCTCAAAAAAATTGAATGCCGATTTTTGACGTGGATTCGACACACAAAAGCGGTAGGTACTTTAACATATTGTCTGGAATACAATATAGTATTATTATTTAGTTTTTCTCGCAGCACAATAATATTGCAAGGAGATGTTCACTATAACGTTACGTAAAATCGATAATCCCGTTATTATAGGTACTCAAAACGGACGAAGGATGTTATTATTTATTGGATTAAATCGAACTGTTATTAACAATAAATAGTTCTTAAAACTAAATGGTTATACTAAAATATGGCGCTCGTTATACTATGGGATATTGATATTATGACAGGAACAAAGCGGAATGTAACAATACGGTTTTAAGTATTTTAGTATTAGTTTTCAACTTAAATTATGTTAATTAATTATTAGTCTATCGCATGACAATGATACGTCGTAGTAATTAATCCTATTCGTATTCGAGTGTTGGAGTGTTTTTTTTTTCACCGTCTGGACAAGGGTCAAAATGTATCCGTATAAAATCGGCGGAGTACGATTGCGCGCGTTTTACCTTTTTAGGTATACGATTGCGCGCAGTGCCCGAATAACAAAAGACAACATTTTAATTACTCAAAGGCGTACGATTGCGCGTGAAATTGGGTGCGACGTTGCCAAATGTATTACGTAAATAATAAAAATACAAAAAGTTAATAATATAAAAAAATGTTATTTAAAAAAAAATTAAAAAATTAAAGTAAATAATAAAATATAAAAAAGTTAAAAAAAAATAATACAAAATAAAGAAATTTAATAATTTAATAATTGAAAAAATATAATACTCGTAAATCAATATTTATATTAAATTTTAAACCCCCGATACCTATTTCCAACTATGGCCAAATACTTTAGTAAATTTTCTGTTGTTTTATTGTTTACATAATGTTTGTGTTCATTTTTCAAATTTTCAATTTTCCTTGGTTCTTCATTCGATTTTGGTTTTATTATACCTTTGGAAATGGTTAATAATTTGGTAACTGTTTCTGCCTGAGGTTCCATAAGGGTAGCTATAACGACAAATATTGGTGGGTGAGCACTATTAAACTGTGCATTATATGTACTATGGAAACTTTCAGCCCCGTTTGTAGTCCTAAAAATAAATAATATAATATTATAGTTAACACATTTTTTTTTAAAACTATTATTAGAACCGGACACAACTGATAGTTAATTGATATAGTCACATCATGCACGATTATAGTATAGGTATATTCGTACATGTATGGACATTTACAATAAAGATAATATTTTTGATAATATAACCAATTCATTCTTAGTGATGGGAAGTTTGTCTGATATCAGCAAAAATAAGTAATAAATAATCTACTATAATCTACTATGGTATCCTACGGATTTACCATGGACCTATATATTTGGCAACGTTGCTTAAAAGTTAAAATAATATAGCGCGCGCAATCGTACGCTTAAAAAGGTACCGCTGATAAGGACCGCGCGCAATCGTATCGCGCCCTATAAAATGTACCCTTGTCTAACCGTATAGGTATTATAAAGCATACACGACTAGGTACGTTCGTAATTCATTATTATTATACTAACACCTCTAGTATCAGTGTGCAGCGATGATCGCGAGAATGCGATTCCACAGTATAGTAATTAATTTATGAGGTATTTCTACCTTATAGTGAGTTAGGTTATGTTTAGGATAAAATATGTAAAGATCAAAGTATTAAGGATACCACCCATGGAGGTAGCAACTAACATTATTTCAGATGCCAACCGATTAGATATGCAGACAACGGTGGTGCAGCAAAGAGATAGTTTTCGACGTTTTCGTATAATTAATAACTCCATAAAAAGTAATTAAAGCTGAAAAGTTATTACATTGGAGCCAAATTTACAGACAAAATATATGAACGAAAAAAAAAACTAAAAGAATACATTTAAATTACTAAAGTATGCAATAATTTTTCAACTTTAAAAAATATTTGCGAAACTTTGTGTGACAAAAAAAAACACATTCTCATCCCATATATTTTATGATATGATTATGCATATTTTATTCAAATTATTTGTATTTGTAGATATGCTATTCAGAAATTTGTACTATGACATGACAGTTATAATTCATTTCATTTTATAATTTATTTGATTAATACAATATATACCTAAACAAATATTTTATAAATCTGACCATAGAATCTGTTACATGAAAATCATTGTTTGTTAATTAAATAAATATAAATTTATTTATCTATTTGGATAAAATGAAATATTGGGGAAATTTACATTTTAGGTCCCCACAGAAAAACAATATTACACACAGTGACAGTTTGATAAATATTCTACTAAATCGTCAAATCACAAGTTGAAAGAGAAAATCGTACTTTTGGAAATGCTGGGGAATAAACCATGAATATATTATAGGTACTTTATAAGTATATAGAATATTGCGTGTCGGTTAGTCATATTATTAATAGGTAGGTAATAACAATTAGACATGGACACATAAAAATTGTCTACTGTGAAAAATGTGGATAAATGCCACACCCACAACCCGGCCCGATAAGTACGAGATATTAGTGATGTAAAATTTCATAAATTTAATTTTTGAGAAATTTCTGAAATGTATATCATAAATAAATTACATTTTTTTAAAAAAAATACAACTTTAATTTATCTATCAGTCATTGGACATTGGTCTATTAAAATTAGATTAGATAACATGATAATCACAGCGTTGCCCTTTGATCAAAAATAAATAGTTACCTAAATAAAAACTATTGGTAAAATATTTTCTCACGAAAATTCTTTAGGAAATTTCCCATCTACGCGTTACTATACGAGTATCCAGGGGGGTTTGAGTGTTTAACCCCCCCACTTTTGACTTTTTTCCCTAAAAAATCTATTGTTTGTACACACGAAAACTGTAAAAAACTTGGTTTAATTTATACTCAACCCCCCCCTCCCCCCCCGAGTCTACGAGAGGTGCTCGACTTGGGTACATAATATAATAATAAACTGTCATACGCATACCACGCGATGTATATAATATACTCACACTTGATGTCGTTGCTGATCGAGCTGGCCTTCTCCTTGGCCGCGTCCGTCAGCGATTGGACGCGCTGCAGTATCGAGTCTCTCGTCTTGGCCGGGCTGGTCGGCGCGCTGATCGTCCGGTTTCCAGGCTGCTGCTGTTGCTGGAACTCCAGTCGCATGTCGGCCGCCTCGGACGCCGGCGTGGCGGCCTGCGAACGAGACGGTTTGGACGCGTACTGCCGCTGCTGGGCTCGCTGCTGCGACTGCGTACCCTGCGCCGCCGGCGGCCGGTCGGTGGGCGCCATCGACGGGTCGGCATCGTCCGCTTCCGAGGATAGGTCTCCCGAAGAGAACCTGCAAAACCACAGCAGACGTGTTTTTACACAACTTTTCCGGCCACGCGGTCCATTCTCGTCTCGAAATATAGACCCGTCCGTCTTTTCTCATACGTTTTTTTTTTTTCAACAAAGGTTCATGTGACCCTGAACAGACTGTCGTCGATTGGCGGTATCGTAAAATTTCAGAAATTTAATAATTTTATTATTCGAGAAATTTCTGAAATTGCATTTTGTTTTTTAACAGAGCTCATTTTTTTACTCGAGCCATGTAGAGATTTGACATATTCATTATTCAATGAACTATGAAGTGTATTTCATAACAATATAATTTAATATTTGATACGGACTACTATAGCATTCACAGTACCTATTGCTATTTTATCAGAACAAAATTAATATAATTAAAAACGAATAATACAATTTCGTCTTGGCAATTTCTAAAATGGAAACATCACTAGCCGTCGACCACCGAGGAGAGGGAGAGTCGAGAACCCCCTGGTTGAGAATCATTGCGATCTATATAATATAATCACAGCAGAAAAAATGGCCGAAGCTAGAGATAAGATCGATCCGGATGTGAGGAAAAAAAATCTATAGAAATATTTTTGTTCGTTTAACTTCCGACGGTTACAAAAACGGTTTGATCGTAAAATAAATATAATCGATCTTCCAATATTCAGCTAACCATATCTGTTTTTATAATAACTGTATACAGAAAATGTCAGAGACATAGATAATATTATACATTTTACGAATTCATCATTTAGCAGGTTTTCATTCATTCATTTTATTTAATTTGACATTATTTACGGGATAAACATTATATTTACCGATAACCTACATACATAATATTATAATATGTAGGTACGTCGGTTGTCGGTACTAGTACGAGTTTTGTCGGATAAAACCTAGGAAATCACCCTTTGCATCAATCAATGTTTTACAAGAAGTGGCATATTTTAACCATAACATATTTTTATCGCATGCTATACGCATATTTGAATTGGAGCAACTCATATATGTATAATGTATATATATTATGAATAAATAAATATCATATAAAGCTGTGGCAGGGGCTAAGGGTGGTGTTTTTCTCAGAGGAAGGAAACTTCTGAGCTCACGATATGTGTATAGTATTATGATTTATGGCTGTACACGGACTACAGGGAAACGTCGACTGAAAATCTGAAAAAGTCAAAAGCTCCTGTACTACAATAGTACATTTAGCACGCGTAATTAATTACCAGACATTAGTCATTACTCATTAACGTATCGTGTTGTGCCTCGTTATTGCGGATTATGAAATCCGGAATTTAAGCACCGAGATCCTGCAATATTTTTTTTTTTATATTTAAGTTTAATTTATAAGACCGATAAATTAATTATTTCCCTTTTAATCGCCAAATCTGTCGTGAAATGTATACATATTATTATAAATACGCGACCAAACAATCGGATGTGAAACGTGAACGGGTGATTTATATCGTTTCATTAAATCGGTCTCTTTTTTCGTCTCAGAATTTACCATGCATTTTTATACTTGAGTGCTGACTGCTGACATTAATTTGTAGTGAATTAGTGACGTTTCGGCAACTCCCATGCCATTATCATGCTCAAAAGTTATTTATGAATGTTACACTATAAATTATACGGCATAAGTTTAACACCAATTCGTATCACGTTGTACTGCTTCGTTTGGTATTAACGCGTTAATAAATATTATATTTTCATGGCTCACCGTTCGTTCGAATTTCAAATACACGTTTATGATAAGTTATTTGCATAACTCTAAATGTTCTGAATACTTGATCGTTTTGACAAAAGTATTCTATACACGTATATTAACCTTTTTTTTTTTATTATTATATTATTCTAATCATTATGAAAAACTGACTTAACTTTTACTGGTAATAAGTGAATTTTTTTTTTACTTTATTATGAATAATAAATGTTGTACATAGATACAATAACTTAAGGAATTTACTAACACTTAATATAATATTACATTATTATAACAAACTATAAAATCGAAATAATTAAATAACGAAAATACCATTTCGTTATAATATTCACTAAAAAATAATTAAATCTCAACACACAAAAACATTAAAATACAAAATCAAATTTCCAAATACTTTGTTAATGTTTGGAAACTTCACTGAGAAAAATTAAACATTATGTACAACGAACCGTTGCCTTTAACTTTACTAAAATCGATACTATATTATTTCCTCGGGCACTAGTCCAAAATATACTTATACGTTTAATTCTCTCTAGTTTTTCCAATCATCGTAATGCAACATTTTCGACTTCTACGAATACTTCCAACCAGCTATTCGAATAAAACGGTTTTAATAATAAACCGAAACGCGTTTGAAACTATGAGAATAAAATCCTAACAATTAAAAAACTAATTTTGTTTTCACGAAAAACACTAACAGCAACGCGTAGGTTCATCGCACCCATTTAACGAACAAATAAATAAATTATCTTTCCTTCCCAGTGGGTTATATATGGGTACGAAAAGTTTATTTTTTTCACGCCGAGACTTTATATGCTCTATATCAATATAGAAGGTTTATGAAGGGAATGGGTGGGACAAATTGTAAACGAAAACCACAGGCGACTCGCCCGTGCCAGATTTACGAAACGCTTTAGGGCTTAGTTTATAATGTTTATATTAATCTTTGTTTGACCGATACGTGGATTAATTGCAGACACAGTGGTAAGTAATTCCCGAGGTAATTCCCAAAACGTGTTTAAATCTTAAAACCATTACATTAATATAGACATAGGTATACTAATGGACTATATAAGTAAATTAATTTCGTAAGCGACGGTACAATAATGTGCATGTACTGTTAGGTACTTTTTTAAATAGTTGGAGACTAGGTTTAATTATTATTGGAACAATGGCAGCAGGTAACCACGGCGAAAACGATAATGATCGTACTTCGTTGGATTCGTATATTAAGTATTATACAAACAATGTACCCTTTGTTGGATTTCTGAACCAGCCTTTGGGTGACGACCAACCGTTAGCAAAACAAAAAAAAAACGAAAACAAAAACAAAAAAAAACGGTGGCATGTGCGCATTGATGTGAAAACGTGAACAATACGATAATAATATGTACCTACATATAGTATTATTGTCTTGAAATAATTATTTAGAAAAGATTATTTCTAGTAAATAACTGGTTTAAGATGTGATTATTTCGTGTACTCGTATATACTATTATACTTCTGTGTTCGAAAAATTGTGTCACGTTAGTATTATTAATTATGGGATTATTAACTTAAATAAATTATACATTAGTAGGTACGTATCGACTACATACCAATATTATTATATACCAAAAAGTCATACCCAATACTCAAATACAAATGTTATACAGTAGGTATACGTCTTATTGTTTTTATTAAAATATTATAGGCAGTGAGTACGATTTCGAACAAGTTTTATTAAATAGGAAAACCATTAAATAACTATATGTTCTAGAAAATATATAGATATCGTTTCACTGTAAAATATTTGTGAATACGTTATTGTTTATTTTTTTTAATTTACAAAGCTATGTGGATTTTTTACAACACTAAGTCGACTAAGACAAAATGTTTTGTAATTATATGAAAAAAAAAACTACACAAGCCTCATATAATCAACGACTAAAAAGTAATGTGCTATCATAACTACAGTTTAAAAGTTACAATGCGATATTTGCTAAAAATTACCTTCGTTTCAAATAATTGACATTGGTGGTGAAAGACTGTTTGAACGTTGAGAATGGAATTTTGACTGATTATTTGAACACGGGTTTGTATGAATGAGAGCTAAGTGCGCTCTCGTAAACAGACTGAAATTGAAAGGGATTTTTCGGTAAGCAAAAATAACACAACAACAATAACAACAACAATATTAATTACGATTAACCAAATTGTATACTATAACATTATACTCTTACACGTCTATTTTTTACCTTGCAGCTTTATATTTAATGGTATTATTAGTTTTGATTTGATTTGTTTTTTATTGTTTTTTTGTTCAGGGTATATAGGGGAAAATTTCGGACGTGCAAAACTCTCGTACGTAAATAGGCGTCGACTGCACTTACACGCGTTTTTCACTCTGTCGGCGGCGGTGGCCGATCGATAGCTCCACCGACAGACGCGACGTGCCCGCCGCGCGACCGTTAACCCCTGGTGGCGGTTTTCCGAACGATTAATGGAAAACGGGCGAAACAGTGAGCGCGTATAGTGTGCGTGCACGTTACACCAGTGCGTACGGTACGCGGTCCCCGGGACGGCGTGCAGAGGGTGACTTCGGGAAAATCCATACAGCCGCGGGGAAATCGAATGGCCACTATTATATAAGACGAGGGGAGGGGGTGCGTGTGCCCCGCTGGCGGAAAACCAAAAGCGGCGCGTGAGGGGTCCCGATTTCGCGCTTAAATGACCTACATGTGTGTGTATATGTATATTGTATATATAAGACGGAAAAATAAAGAGTAAAACCGGCGGTGAGACGACGGCGACCCTCGATCTCTCTGTCTCACCAAACACGCACGCCCACACTCATGTATACATTATACGGAGGGCCGATCCTTTTGTAACGGACCGGGACGCCAAGCAGAAGTTCGCATTCGGCAGCAGCCGACTGAGAACAAAAATGTTTGGAAAATTGTCATCGTCGCGAATCGTGCCGAAATCGGTGCAAAATAATGACACCGGTGTGGAACCGATCGGACAAAGTCCTGTGACATAGTATAATGTGTTCGAGTTGGCATAACGAGTTGTGTAGTTATATTCTGTAAACTATAAAAAAAGTCGTCGAAAACTTTTTTGATGGAACGCGAAATAATGACACTAATAATTTGAATGTGATCTGAAAAAATCGGGTTGCCAACTTCAAGTGTCTGGTGATATCTGGTTAAATATTATAAGGGATAATTTTGGTTTTTAAATGTTT